ATGGAGCTGGAACATATCCTACTTAGTAAAGTATTTCAAGAATGGAAGAAAAAAATCCAGTGTACTCAGTACTATTATGAAACCAATTTACAATCACTCACACTTTCATATGAAGAATAGATCACAACTATGGCCCAAGATGAAGGAGGGAGGAGGGGGGATGGGAAGGGAAAGAGGAGGTCAGATCAAGGGAGGGTGAATGGTGGGATCACACCTATGGTGAATAATGCAAGAGTACATGTTAGATCTATTAGTATAGAGTATAAATGTCTTAACACAATAATTAAGTAAATGAGATGAGGTACATATTAACCAGTGAGATGTAAGCATTCCTATTTCTATATGAAATAAGCACATTGTACCCCATAAATGCATTAATGTATACATGATCTAAGTGTTTACGATTTAATAAAAAAAGTTATAAAATGGAAAAATAAAAATTAAATTAAAATAAGAAAGACACCAAATGAATGGCCTAATGTTGTACCATAAGAAACTAGTAAAAGGGAGCAATCTTAAACAAACAAAAGAAAGAAAAGATAAATGTTAAAGTGGAGATAAAATAGGGAATAGGAAAAAAATAAAGACAATTTAAAAAACCAAAAGTTTTTTTTTTTTTTAAAGAAAAACAATTTACAAGCCTTTAGCTAGGGTGGCTAAGGGGGAAAAAAGAGAAGACATTAAATACTAAAATCAAAAATTACAATGGAGAAATTATCACTGACCTTCAGAAATGAAAAGGATTAGAAAACTATGATAAACAACTGTACTACAACAAATTAAATAATCTAGATGTAATAGAAAACTTTCTAAAAATACACAAACTACCAAAAGTGGCTCCAGAAGAAACAGAGAATCTAAAGCTACCTATCCCAAGTAAAGACTTTGAATCAGGGACCAAAAGCCTCCCTAAAAGGAAAGCCCAAGACCAGATGGGTTCATTCTTGAATTTAACCAAACATTTAAAGAATTAATACCAATCCTTCTCAAACTCTTCTAAAATATAGAAGATAAAGGGAAACTTTGTAACACATTCTATGAAACCAGCATTATCTTGATACCAAATCCAAATAAAGGCATCACAAGAAAATTATAGACTAATGTCACTTATGAATACATATGTATGCAAAAATCATCAATAAAATACTAGTGAACTACATTCACCACTATATTATGTACCATGACTAAATGTGACTTGTCTCAGAAATTCAAGAGTTGTTCAACATGAAAAATGAATCAATGTAATCATTCCCATTAATAGACCAAAGGTGGGCAAAGCACATAATATCTCCATTGATGGAGAAAAAAGCATTTGCCAAAATTCATTTCCCTTTCATGATAAAAAAGAAACAACTCAATAAACTAGGAATAAAAGGAAATCCTTGACAGGACATTTATGAAAAACCCACAATTAGCATCCTCAATTGTGAAAGACCAAAAAATTTCCTGGTAAGGCCAAGAAAAAAGACAGGATGATCCCCTTCACTACTTCTATTTAACATTGCATTGGAAATTCCATCTAAAGCAATCAGACAAAGAAAGGAAATAAAAAGGAGAGAAAAAGTGGAAAAGAAGAAATAAAATTTTCTCTATTCACAGATGACATGTTCTTATATATGGAAAATCTCAAAGAAACCCTACCCCAAAATAGATCTAATGAATTCAGTAAAATCGCAGGATAGAAGATCAACACATGCACATCAGCTGTAGTTCTATACACTGCAATGAACAATCCATAAAATAAAAAAAAATTCTGTTTACAAGAGCATTTATTTACTCACATTTTCTTGTAAAAAATAGAACACAGCTATAGCCCAGGATAATGGAGAGAAGTGAAGTGGGAGGGGAGAGGTGGGGGAGGTTCGACAGAGGGAGGGTAAAGGCAGGATCACACCTATGGAACATATGACAAGAGTACAAGTCAAATCTGTGAAATGTAGAACATAGATGTTTTGGCACAAAAATCAAGTAATTGAGATGAAAGCTATGTTGATTGGTTAAATGTAATCACATTAGATTCTACAAAAAATATCAGCACATTGTACCCCACATATGCATGAATGTATCCAAGATCTACGTGTATTTGACTTAATAAAATTTTTAAAAAAGAAAAGAAAACATCAAGAGTAGGCCAATTGATTGCTAGAGCTAGTGGGGAGGTGGGGGAGGATGGTGGGGAAGATGAAAGTGACTTCTAGTAGGTATTGACTATCTTTGGGTGGGGGGAGAAGAAGAAGTTCTAAAATTAGATTGTGGTGATAGCTTTAGAACTCTGTGAATGTATTTAGACACACAGAATTGTACACTTTAAAAGGGTAAACTACCTATTTCAATAAAGCTATTTAAAGACGTTTTCCAAAAAAAAAAAAAAAAAGAATCTTTTTCAACTGATCAGCCTTAAAAAAAGAATGAAGTACTGATACATGTTACAAATGGATGAAGCTCAAAAACATTATACAAAGTCAAAGAAGCTAGACACAAAAGGACGAACATTGTATGATTCCATTCATATGAAATATTCAAATTAGATAAATCTATTAAGACAGACAGCAGATTAGAGCTTGTCAGGGGCTGAAGAGGTGAGAAAAGGGAGAATGACTGTTTAATGGGTACATGGTTCCCTTTTGGAGTGATGTAATGTGTCAGAACTAGGGACACGTGATGGTTGTGCAATATTTTGAATGTACTAAATGCCATTGGGTTGTACACTTTAAAGTAATTAATTTTATGTTATGTAAACTTTATCTCAATAAAAAATTATTAACACTGAAGGTATCACATCATCATCATTATCATGACTATGGAAAATAATGCTTCCTAGATTTCACTTTCTTTACAAGTTCTTGTAGATTATGAGAAAAAAATAGGTAAAGTTTTAGTTTATAGTCAGTAAAATTTGTATAACATGTTCTTGTCTTCTCTCTGTTCTCTTTCAGATTATGTCTGGCCACTACCTAGGTATTTGTGCCCCGTCTGGATTTCCTTAGATGTACTATTTTCAACAGCGTCCATCATGCACCTCTGCGCTATATCGCTGGACCGGTATGTAGCAATACGTAATCCTATTGAGCATAGCCGTTTCAATTCGCGGACTAAGGCCATCATGAAGATTGCTATCGTTTGGGCAATATCAATAGGTAACTATACCTTCGGCCATAGAATTGCAGCGGCTATGCTCAATATCTTCGGATTATGTACTGTGAACAACGTACAGACGTCGACTGGTAACGTTGCGTTCAATCGGGACTGTTTTAACAATTATTCTTAACCTATATATCTGATATTTAGGTTAACAATAATGAAAAATGTGTAATATGTTTGAATACGTGAATATAAAGTTTTCATTTATGCTGCTAAATTATTTTATAAGTTAGTATGCCAGTGAATTCGGCAACACAGATGCAAAATGTTTGAAATATTTAAAATACTTTTGAAGATGACAAAGATAAAAATTAAAAGTCTATATTTCAAAAATATAAGGCTGGGCTAAGTGGCTCACGCCTGTTATCCTAGCACCCTGGCAGGCCAAGACGGGTGGATTGCCTGAGCTCACAAGTTCCAGACCAGCCTGAGCAAGGGCAAGACCCCTCTCTAAAAATAGCTGGCCTTGGTGGCAGAGGCCTGTAGTCCCAGCTGCTCCAGAGGCTAAGGCAAGAGGATCACTTGAACCCAAGAGTTTGAGGTTGCTGTGAGCTGATGCCATGGCTCTCTACTCAGGTCTAAAAAGTGAAACTCTGTCTCAAAAATGAATAAATAAATATTAAAAATATAACATTTAATTCTTAGAAAAGATATATATACAGAAATATTAACCTTAATGTTTTTATTCTAATTTGGTGGAAAATTTAATAATGCAATCTAAATATTATGGCACAACACGTCTAAATTAATGCTTTTATTAAGCCTAAAATACATTATTTTCCCTCAGTTTTAATTGTCTCCTTGGACTCTGTTAAGACAAAAAGATACAAAAAGCTATTGGTTTCTTTAAGGATTTGGAGGAATTTAAGGGGGGGAATGATCATGTTATTGCTTATATTTGCAATATTCATAAATGCCTTAGCAATGCTAATAATAGTAACATCGAAAAATTTAACCAGTTGGAAGTCAAGGATTTTACAGTCATCCTTTTTTCCCTTCCAGTTGGAGCTTAAATTATGTCCATCAAATAATTTCGGTCCAAACTTATAGTTTTGTAAGACCTGGGTAAAGCTTAAAACAAAATCAAGGCAATTATACAATCTTTACTGATATTCTCTAAACATTTTGACTCTGGGTTTATTGATCAAACAAATTTATTTAAGTTTTTTTAGAGTGTCTAATTATAGATTTATTTATATATAGCACAGACTCCTTTGGATAAAATGTGAAATTTTTCCCCTCGTAAAAGGATACATAGCAGCGTCTCATACCTGTAATCCCAGCACTCTGGGAGGGCAGGCAGGTGGATTGCTCACAAGTTGGAGACCAGCTTGAGCCAGAGCCAGCTAAACAACAATGACAACTGCAACAAAAAAATAGCCAGGCCCTGTGGCAGGTGCCAGTAATCCCAGCTACTTAGGAGGCTGAGGCAAGAGAATCACTTGAGTCCAAGAGTTTGAGGTTGCTGTGAGCTGTGACGCCATGGCAATCTACGTAGAGTGACAAAGTGTGACTGTGTCAAAAAAAAAAAAGGATCCGTACGTACAATTTGATTTACAAATTCAAATGTTCACAGATTTTGCTTTTTCCATCCCAAAGAGCTAATTTAAAATAATGCTAGCTGTAATGGTGCTTACAAAGGAAATACATAAGTAAATTAAATTAAACTGTCAGGGGCATCAGCTTCTGGTATTGACATACTAGGTAATTTGCAATAACTCTTGTGCTGAAGACAATTAAAAATAAGGGTAAAATATTAAAAGCACTGAGAAGCTAATAAAGTAGTTTGGAATTACTTAACATAGATCCAGAAAAAGAGAGAAATCCAGGAAAAATGACCATGATTTTCTATTCACTTTTGCAAATGGTGCATCTCCACACCTGATAATATGATTGACACATTGAGAAGCTCATTTCAACCTCACAAACAGAGGATAACCAAATAGGAATAAAAAGTCTGGAAGAAGCCAACCAACCTGATTTAGTTTGGGGATTCAAAGACCTAGGAATAAAGATAGATCCAGTATAAACCACCTTTGACACGGAATTTAGCCCTGGTGCAAGTCATCTACATAACCAAGAAAAATCTTCATTATTGGATTAAGATGATTTCATATTGTTCATGTTTCTGATTTTTGGTATAAGCAAAAAAAGTTACCTTTGGCTTCAAATTATTTCTTTCAATAATTTTCAAATGCACTTACTGAAATACAATGATAAGCAGATATATGAAGAGGTAATACAATATGAACCAGATATGGGATAATAAAAGATAACAGAAATAAACGTAAGTATTTCAGATAGTTGAATTATCAGATATAGACTGTAAACAACTATTTGCAATGTTTCATGGAAATAGCAAGCTGAACTTAAACATTTCAGCAAGAAACAACAAACTATAAAGAGTGACATTAAGATTCAAGAAACAACTAGAAAATCTGGAGCGTCAGCATAATATTAAAAAAAAAAATGGAACCCAGTGGCAAATTAGACATGCCTAAAGACAGAATTATTGAAGATTGGTAAGGAGAAGTTATAATTAATGGAGCATGGAAAATTGAAAGGATAGAAAACAGAGAAAAGTGTATAAAAGAAAAAGATACTTCATAAAATGAGAAGAGTGCTACAGCGAGAGAAAATAACAGAAAATCAGTCTTCGAAGAACTAATGGCTTTTATAATTGATGAAAGACATTCTAACATTTAAAGAACTCAACAAGTCTCAAAAAAATAAATAAGAAGCAATCGACATCTAGACCCATCATAATGAAATTGAAGAAATTTTAAAAATTGGAAGATTAAGATGAATGAATGCTTTCTCGACACTAACATAGAAAGCCAGAAGATGTTGGAATGATACTGTCAATGCCAAGAAGAGAAAAAGGATGTGAAAGTAGATTGATATATTCCACAGAATTACACCTCTAGAATCAAGGTGAAATAGAGACAATTTCAGACAAACAAAAACCTTGAGAATATACTAACAGTGGATGCCTACTTAAGGAAGTACTAAAAGGGTGCTATTAGATCAAAGGAAAATGGCCACAGATGAAAGACTGAAGATAAAAAATAATCCAACTATATACTATAAGAGGCATATATACAGCATAAGGAAATTAAAAGGTTAAATAAAGGTATCCCATCCAAACTATCCAATAGAAAGATCATGTACCTCTATTAATATTTGTCAGAATTGATTTTTTCGCAAAAAAAAAAAATCTAGCAAAAGGTCATTTTATAATGATGAAAGATTTAGTTCATCTAGAAATATAGCATAATAAATTTATATGTACATAATAAAATGGCATCAACATTTATAAAGCAAAAAAGAAGAGAACTACAAAGACAGACAAATCTACAATATGGAGTCAGATCTTAACACACATTTCTCAGTGACTGTATAAAGACAATAAACAAACCTGAACCCATTGACAACTTAAGAACACGTATTCCCACTGATTGCACAAGAAATATTTATAAAAATTGACTACATATTTGGTCATAAAGTAATCCTTAGTATGCTTCAAAGGGTTGGAATCATAAACTGAATATTATTTCAAATTCAAATGAAGCAGAAATGACTTCCAAGTAGATAACTAGCAAATCTCCATGTATTTGGAAATTAATAAGTTGTTTCCCAGTAAATTGACCTAATGGATTTAGAATTCATTGGTGATCTTTCCTAAACTATTGACTAGTAAGGTGATATAATGATAATTTTTCTCACTTTATTATTCTTCCTGCCTTTACTTGTTGGTATTATACTGTAAAGAAGTGTTTTCCCTCCAACTCTTTTTCTGTTATTTATTTATTCATATTGGATTCACTCCTGGATTCCTTTGTACTTAGTGTAGCATATGTGACTCATTACTGCCCTTAATTATTTTGCTACTACAATTGTCCTGTATTTGTCGAATGAGAACTCCTTTTGTTATGTTTCATCAGTTTTTGAGAACTTTCTTCCTTTCTAATATAAATTATGCCAGGCTCACCTTTTACTTCCCAGGCCCCAGTCTTGAAATCAAGCATTACTTATGCGGAACTCTTTTAGTGGGCAAATGTTTTGTAAACCAAGATACGGAAGCTAGGTACACTTATTGCCAATGAGATATCATTGCTCCTGTACATGTATATCCATACCTTTAATCCCATTCTGCTAACACAGGATTCTTCTGCTATTTTCCAATTCCTTATTTTTCCTGGTAGTCCTCACAGTGAGTAACTTGGTCTCAAAAACATATATATACACATATACAACATTTATATTTTCTAAATCCTACAATACAACAAATTAATTTCAGGATTGCATACCACTACTGGTAAATAAAATGTCATTTTTTAAAATTTCATTGCAATTTTTTTTATCTTTGGAATGTTTCCCACTGGAGATATATACTTAAAGTATTGTGTTCAAAACATTCGGATTACTTTGAATTTTATTTCTTCTGTGTGGCTCTGATACTGCTTGTCCACATTTAGGGATTTTGTTTCTTTATGTGTTCAATATTGATTTCCCCAACCTTGTTGATTTTATTTTTTCATATGTAAAACCATCACATGATGTTCCAAAAGTCAAAATTGTGCAAACACTATTTTCAGAGAAGTGTCAGTCCCTCTTCTATGTCTTGGTTAACCCATTCATTAGCTTTTGGAGTACACTTCTTGAGGATATTTTTCAAAAAAATAAGTGATTATGTATGCACATGCACACAAACATACATATATTGTTCTTTTCTCTTAAATAAAAGATAAAATACCACATACACATTGATACTTTGTCAAAATATATATATAATATATATCCACAAAACATATGTAATTGTATATATCCATTATATATATGTATATATGTGTATATTATATATATATATATATAATTTATTGTTGGGGATTCATTGAGGGTACAAAGAACCAGGTTACATTGATGACATTTGTTAGATAAAGTCCTTCTTATAATTGTGTCCTGTCCCCAAAAGGTGTATCACATACCATCACCC